GCTTTCTTGAACCAGATACTTTCAGAAATCTTCGGCCACTTAGAAGTAAGGGCCAAATTTGGGAATCCGAATTATGATAAAACTTAGGCAGATCAAGAAATTTGTTCCAACCAATTTTTCACATTCAAAAAACTTCCTAAAATGGAGATTAGATGCAAGCAGTATGGGGCTTCTCCAGAATGACAAAATTATATCTTGAGAAAAGCAGCTGGCAAACTAGCTTCTAGAAAGAGGGCTGCCGGTGGGCAAATTTATCCAGATATGTGGAGGGGCACGTAAATTTAAGGTGGAGTGGAGGTGAGCTGGATTGGGTGGTTACTGACCCTCCCCTTCCCCTGTTTGGATAGAGAAGCAAAAAATAAAAATAAAAATGATTGTGACATAATAGCAGAACTAAAGGCAAACACTCTGAACACAGGTACCTGATTGTAATTACAGGTATTTTTTCCTAGTTAAAACAGTGATAAAAATACGTCATTTCTAGTGTGAGAGTTTTCAGTAGGTTGCAATTCTCAAATTTGCGACATTTTAAGGGCAAGCGTCATTGATTCAGCATCCCCAAGGTACCAGCCATCCACCTTGAAAAATCCTGGATCTGCCCCTAGGAGTGCAAGGCAAGACATATTATGACAGCATTTTGTGCCTTGTTATGGACTAGTAAGCAGGGTTCTATTTAAATTTTCAGCAGAGGGCAACTGGTTTTTATAGGCGGGCAAAACTTTTTGAACTGAACTACTATTCAAGAAAAACGTTCCTTTAGATGGTCAAACCAGGCAAGCAAAAATGTCCTCACAACAGGTCAAGAGTAAGGAGTAAGGAATTTACAGTTACACTGCAAAATTATGCTTGTCCTGATACAGAAACCAAAGGGCATTTGGTCCTCTCTACAGAAAGATTGCAATACTCAGTGACTCCACTAAGACTGAACAGGGAAACCTGGAATACAGTGGATACCAGTATCTAGCTAAAAAGTCACAAAATGAGCAAAAAATGGATTTTTAACAAGGGTTTATTACAAAGGTAATCAGTGTATGCAAACCTTTCATATTTGATAAAGATACACACTATATTAGGTAGCCACTGTTGAGCAAACAGACGTCGCTCTGGAAATGAAGAACTGTCAGTTTTCCAAGCAAGTATAAAAATAATATTAATAGACAGGGTCTCTATGTGCTATTTATTACTATCTTTAAAAGAAAATGGTTAATTCTAGAACCTTCATTTTAAAATTTGATATTGTTTCTGTGTTCTGTCGCCCCCCAAAATAACAGTTAAAAACAAAACATTAAAAGAATGAGTGTAATGCAAAACAGTGCTGACTTCCAAAAATATTTTCATGCAAGTACACCATCCACTACATATTGAAATAAACTATCGCACAGTTTGTATAACAGCGGGACGCTAGCTAGTGTTCAGATACAATCTCCGAAAGCGCATATAGCTGGTTGGTTTCGAGTTACATCTTAGATTAAGTACGTGTGTATCCAGCATGGAAAATACCATATGCAAAGTTGGTGTATATAGATATATCAAGTAACAGTTTTCATGTCTTGTCTTCTCTGATACAACGGCTGTAATCGTTCGGAGTGAAACGGAGAAACTTCCATCATTCGCTTGGTTTCTTCGCGCTCTTCTTTGGAGTGGCTGATTTGTCATTCGTTTCTGGCTTCTTTTTCACTGAACCCTTAGGGCGTCCGCGAGGTCGCTTTGGTCCTGTGGGTTTAGGAGCTGCCTCTTTCTTTTTCGTCGATTTCGAGCCCTTGGGTCGACCCCTGCCTCTTTTAACGACAGGTTCGCCAGATTGTTCGCTAACGGCGGCCGGAGCGGGCGATTTGGCGGTTCGACCACGCTTTTTTGCTGAGCTCGCTGCTGCCTCGACGTCTGGCATTCTGATCACAGGTCTTCTTCTTTATGCACTCTACCAGAAAATCCTGAAACGATTAGATAAATTTTAGAAGCTTTCATCTGGGAGCAACATGGTTGAATTTGCGTTTGTGGATGCATTATTTTTAAGCGTGCAAATTTCAGTCATGTCAATTTCACAACAGAGTTGATAAGGGAGAACACCCCAGAGGGGCATTAGAGGCGCGAAAATGTCACGCGAACAAAATAAATCAAAAAAAGAAGTAATCGAGGAGATCTCTAGCACTTTTGAGCGCAGAATAACGATGGACGATTAAAAACTTACCCAATATTAGCTGCGCACAACTGAGAACTGTAAAACAAGCGACCGTTGGGAAAAACACAACACAAACAATCAAAACAAAAGAGCGACGCGACGCCAAAAACATCAAACAAATCCCAGGATGCCTGTCACAAAAATCTTCGTTCCTTGTGGTCAGTGGAAAAACTAGAACTCAGGTTTCGTCGGTTCCGTCAATATTTCGTGTAACAGAGATCCTGGGAACGAGATAATGTGAATCCAATATGGCGGGAGCAGCATGTCCGTTTGGACGTTTGTCACCCTGTAAACATGTCGCTCTCCGGGATCTCATCCAAGGTGTTAAGAAATTTGTAGTAGTCTGCAAGCGTCATGCATCCAACAACAATTCTTTCAGCAATGATGTATTTTCGTATAATCGCTTGCCGGCGTCTCTTCACGATCGTTTTGAATTTAGACTGTTATCTCTCATGGCACCAAGAAACGCACACAATTTTCCGCGACTGTGGAACCGGAGTTTATTTTGGTATTGCTGTAGGTAGGTGTATTTTCTTGAGTGGGAGGATTATCTGAATCAGTGTTTATTTGCTTTCAGTGGCGGCATTTTCACGGTACAGTGTGTGTCCGGATGAATTACGTAACTGTCCCAGGTTGTTACCTCAGACTTAAAGTACGGCTCACCCGTGGGTACATATATACGTGGGGTTGTCAAGCAAAGTGTAGCTTGTTTTGCGTTATATTCGCTTGATGGAATAAGGGTTGCGCAAGAAAATCTATAGACTATAAACATACACCTACAGAGTAGCTTGCCATGATCATGAGGCACTGGTTTCACCAGCTGCCAGCTGTTTTGGACAACCCATATCAGTTTGAGGCTGCCGACCTCTCTCTCCCACTTTCTAGGAGGCTGTGGGCTTTCTACATTTTTTTTTTTCGATGTACGTCTTTGCCGTATACAAGTGGCTGAATTATTTTTCTTGCTTCCCTTTTAGGAGATATTGTTCAGGTAGTTCACATATTGAGAAAACACAAACTGACCCAAAGACATTAACAAGACCGCATCTTTCTCATCTGTGTGAAACAATAAAGAAGGTAAACCAAAGTTTATTTTGCATCAAAGGAAAGAAAGTAAAGAAGTTTTAAGAGAGCACTCACTACATAGTTTAGCAGAATGGGCATTTATCGTGCTGTGGACATTCACTGTTTTGAAAAACAAGAGTGTTTTAATTTCTTTCCCACATAATAAATTGTACATCTAACTTGTTGCTGGCTTGAGGGTTGTTATCAGTACATTGGGAAAAATTCAAATAAATCATGTTTACAAATGCAGAAAATACACTTTAAATGGTCAGGGGTGATATCTCTAAACTCTCCACCCCCTCCCTCCTCCAAAAGGTTAGTTTGATTCCTGGCTGAAAGTCTGGCTCCACAGTAGAAAGATACCAGAAGATCAGATTTCAAGATGTTAATTTATGAAAAGTAAGGAAGTTGAAATTATTTTTTTGGTCTGGCAGGAACTCAACTCATCCATAACACCTCTTAGAGAGGTAAGCCATTATTACTTTGATGGTCAAGGAAAGTACATCAGACCAATGATTGTACT